AAAGCGGAGATTCCACAGGATTCCCACGCATCCGTCCACCGAACACTTCCTCCGGTCGTTGTCTACCCCACCCTAAGATAACGCGCTAAGGGCGAAATGGAGGGTGGTTGCGATGCACCGGAGTAAACTGATTGGTGATTTAGAAAAGGAGAAATCACCAATCAGGGTGTTTTTGGGAAAACAGAAGTCTTCGTCGAGGGAAACCGCAGAGACTCCAGGAGAAACACTTGGTCACTCGGGAGAAACATTTTGCAACTCGCGGGAGAAACACTTGGCCACTCGCAAGAAACACTTTGCAGTAGAATTTATATCTTGAATTAGTTGTAGAAAATAGAACATAAAATAAAAACTTAGTGTTTCATTCAAGAAACTGGTCCTTCGTAGCCTTAGAACATTAGTCGGCACACACGTGCAAAAACCGGCAAAGCTTGAACGATCGAAAGATTAACCGCAAGCCCTAACAGGTAGGCTATTATGGTGTCGCAAATAATCGTTCTAAGTATTTGTAAAATGCTAACAACGTAAGTCGACAATGTTCTTGACAAGTGTTCGTGAAGTACTATCGCAACTACCATAAGTAATACTTGTAAAATACTGAAATTGTCGTATTTCACCTTCGCGAGGCAAATTTTCAACTTTCATTTTATTGCTTGTAACATTTTCTCATATGTAAATTTTGCATTTACCGTCGGAAAAAATTTCAGGAGTTAAGCTGTAACACTTGAAACGAGTAAATTTTGTAATTAAGTACTATAATTTGACAAATAGAAATTTTCTTTTCGCTCTCCTGAAGAATTTTTCGTCCTCGACTTGGGACAATTTTCTCGCGGAAGTGCAATAAGATTATCACAAAACGTGACTTCTCACTTTAATATTGTTTCAATTAATCGTGTCTTTCAATTGTTTTATTTATTTTAAATTCAGATAAAACGGAACAACTTCGCTACCAATGAGAAGCTTCCAAAAAATCACCTGCGAATTTACATCAATATTGAATCTGCTACTAACTCCTTACAGATTTCAAATTGACGTCGCGGAGATCAGTAGCAATCTACTTCGTCTCCATTGATCTTACTATCAAAAAAATTCTCGAAGTTGCTCAAATATTTTGAAAATTTTTGTACAGTAATCCCAAGCTGTATATTGAAATAAAAAGATCGAAACTAAGGAAGAATTTGAAAGAACCTGAAAGAGAGGCGACAGAAAAAGCGAAGGGAAACAATTAGGAAAATTGTCAATGGAAACTTGTCGCAACGGAAAATTGCCTGCAAGTGACGACACCTTTCGTGAACGCTACACTGGCCTCGTATTGTTTGCTGTGCTGTAGTAAAGAAGAAATGGGACAGTTTATCCTAAAGGTCCTAATTTGAACGTTCCACTGAAAACGCGGAACAGCTTCGTACCATGTGGAAAGTAAGTGGACAGAGAGAGAGACTGTTTTCCTCTGGAGAGGAAAGCAAATGAGGACAGCCATAAAAATGCTTAGGAGAAGCTTGCGGAGATGAACCAGTGTGTATACTGGGATCATCGTGTTTCTGCATGCAATAGTGTGCAAATATGCTTTGTGAAATTTTTCGAAAAATTTCACAAATTATTTAATTCGAGTAAATTCACGATTTTTCATTAACAGACACGAGTAAATAATTCGATATTAACCTATTTCCTTAAAAATCTAATAAAACAAAGCACATATTTCAATATCAGTTTTTATATCGAAAAACTATTTTTACGAAATGTAATTTTAAGAGACAAACGAGAGAAGATATTTTTTTAACGAAATTCTGTGCTTTCTTTTAACACAATTTCTTATTTAAATTTATATTTGAAGATTTATCCGAAAACGAAAATACAGATTTAAAATGTTTACTCGTTTCAAGAATAATTAAAATGGCACGATGAAGTTAGGAGTATGAAAAGTTCAAAGTAACACTGTACATTTTCATATGTTTTATTTAACCACGTGTAAGGTTTCGAGAAACAACTACAATAATTTAGAACGCCCATTACTCACGAGGTACATTACATACAAATCTGTGCATCCATATAAAGTATGAGGAGTGAAGAGTGTGCATTTAACTTGAAAACAAAATACATAATCAGTATAAAAATGCAGCGCTGGTTAACTACATGTCGAAGCATATTGTAACTATTAGAATATTAATAAATGCGATTTCATTCTAAATACTTCATAAAATCATTCATACTATTTCCATCTACAATGATATTTCGACGTTTCCCTAAATTTCTCGCTAAATGCAAAAATAATTACAAATTGACTTTAGTATTTTTCTTAACCGCGAAAAAAAAAAAACGATCAACAGCTGGTAACTAAATCTACTTTTCGTAAACTACATCAAGAACCAGGAAAAAGTAATTTTTTTTTCCAACATTAATTACTATATCTTGCCGATACCTGAAAATTAAACAAGATTTAAAAATATATACGTATTCTGTGAAAATATGTTTACAAATATTCGTTAAAATTTATACTCGTTATATTTAACGAAGGGTAAAGAAATTCGTTTCGAGACACTTTCCCAAAATACGAACTATTTTACGCGCATTCAACAGTTCCATTAGTTTTTTGTTACGCGAAACACAAAACCAATCGCGCGGAGGCAATCGTGGGTCGGAAAAAGTAACGACAAAAAAAAAGAAGAGAAAAACACTACGAAACGTCAGCTGACGCTCGTTTTTATACGACACATTCTTGTACTTTCTGTTAACACACTGTCGTAATGAAGTCGTCACGAACGAGGCACGAAATTTTTGCACCGTGATCGCAATTTTTTGTACATGATGTGCTCATTTCGTATCTTTTATCGACTGAGATAACGGTGTACCGCGAGTAACTCGTCACATACACAAAATTGCCATCACACCGTAGTAGAAATCAATATAGAATTATCGTCTAACACCACGATGACAGAATTATGTTTACATGTATGTACCAGAATCGAAAGATTGGAAGATATTAATTCGAGAGAGATATCAGTCACTGGTAGAAATGTGAAAAAATTAAAAAACATTTGTTTTCGTTGGTTTTGCATATAAAAAGCGGTATAAATACTCGTATAAATAATTGTACCATTGGAGCTTTGAAGGAAACATATTTATCGGTATTCCCTGACACTTCGAATTAAAGTAATTATTAGATATAAGTGATCGTTAGGTTATTTATATAAATACCATTTACAGTGACTGTCTACAGAATCGCAGTAAGATAGATGCTTGATGAAATACTGTATAATTTTTAAAGGTTAAAATACTGAGAAAAGATACATGAAACTATAGAAAATTAATTTAAATGAAATATTTATAAATTACAGGTATGTAACAGTATTTTGGATTATATGTAAATTAATTTTAATAGTGCATAAAAATATTTGCAAAATATAGTAATAATGATATAAGAGAAAATATTATATCATAATAATAGAAATTTTCACCGAAGTTGACGTGTATTATTACGTTTGCGTTCTCTTGTTGCGGTTCTGACTGCATATGATATATGGGAAATTTAACCCTTTGCACTTTCGACACGTCAACGATGCTCTAACACCCTGCCTTACAGTGAGATAAATGTGATAACGTACCGCATACGTGACGTAAAATGCGTCGAGTGTAACGGCAATAAATCACATATGCATGGGATGTACTGTAATACGATGTAACATTTGAAATTGAAATATTTGAAATTTCTAGCAAAATCTATTATGAAGTTAAATAAATACGTGAGTTATTGGACAAGTAACATTTATTGAAATTGTGTTATTGAAAGTATTTCCTTCAAATTTCCATAATCTCGTAAGTTAACCTAACCTAACCTTAAACTGAGTAATTTTATTAACGGAATATTCGAGATTGCTAAATTAATATACAAATCAAATAATATCTATGGACTGGAAAAATGTTAATAAATCAGTTCAGTACTACAGAAATGCTAATTACGACAATTCGATAAATAGGAACAGTAATGAATCAAGTGCAAAGGGTTTACACTTATCAGACTTGTCTCTAAAATGGACTATGGACTACACGAAAGTGTACAGTACAATAACATTCTCACAATTCAGCCCTTTGAAAGGAACAATTTTCCTAATTCCATAATTCTTTAACTTTCATAAATTCTAAATTATGCTGGAAAATTTCATTTTCCCAATTTGCCTGTTGCTCAGGATATTAATTATCTCTTAGTTCTATTGTATATTTATTATTCATTTCTTCGATCGACCATAAAGTCAGAATAGCGGTCGAAACATGAAATTCTATTCACACGGCGGCAAAATTTGCTTTCTTTTCCTCATAATAAATTGACACTGCGAAATTTACGCGTGATTCGACGAACGAAGATTGAAATGTGTCGTACAGCTTGGCTCTAATTCATCGTACTTTCTTAGGAGCAACTTTTACTTATCTAGAAGACCATCTATATTATTACCGAAACCCATTACCACGCGTAATTAAGTTCACAACTGTCTATTAATAACTAGAAGAACACAAATATTCGAAAGTCTTTAAAAATGGAAGTACGAACTTTCACTGTCAATTAATCAGACACCGTGTCGCATATGCCACTCTTAAAACAATTTTCAATTCAACAATATCCTTTATAGCCTCTAAAAATAACAGCGTCAAATTTCATATCCTAAATGCATAATACACGCTACGAATATATTATTTTTTTCTCTCATAGCAAACCCACTTAATTATTCACTGTGTAAGAAACTTCAGCTTTCCAGCCTCTTTCAATTCAACTTTTCGAATTCACATCTCGATTTTGATTCGAAAAATAGAATTGTTTATTCCTAGTGTGTTCCTTCGCGAAAACCAATTTAACCTTATGAAAAATAAAAAAGCTTTGGAAATAGGATCGAACAACAGTGGCACGAGTACCATTTTGTCCTTTCTTTAGTAGTCCTAAAGGACATCTTTTACTGTTTACTGGACAGAATGAGGTTACCTCGTGGATGTATTGTATCTAAATACAAGATCGAGTACTACGCGCCCGTTTCTTGTGGTTCGGTGCAGTCGGTTGGTTTCACCTCGAGCCACCAGTCGTTGGGATAGTGATATTTTTGTAACTCAATGCCCTCCCTAGGGACAGGCATTAGCCGACCACCGAACTGCTTCGCCGGTAAGGGAGGAATTACGAGTTGAGGTGGAAAACATTGCAGGCTGGGGGAGAACTCGCAGTCCGGAGGTAGCACTCTTCTTGTCCAACCGACTCTCCTTACCATTTGTGTCTGCAGAAGGAAGGATATTATTATTTCAAAATATTACGTAATAGATTACATTTGAAAATGTGTCGTTCGTTAATGCAGTTCTTCAATTTTCTTATGTCGTTTGTCTTATTTGCAAACACGACGTGAGTTCGACTGTCTTGGAAATGGAGAAAGGTAATACGAGGAAAACACATCGAATAAATATTTTCTAAGCTACATTTTAATAGATAAAACAACGGTCAATCTATTGACTGATGTCAGTTTGATAGGAATTTAAGTAACTTTCATGTCTTCGTGTTCCAGATTTGTGTGCTTTGACAAAACAGTCTTTAAAAAGTTATACCGTAGTGAAGTTCAGTGATGTTAATAAAAGAAAGTTCACTGGTTTACTGCTCAAAGCTATGCCAAGGTGTGACGTTCTGTTGTCCTAGTTATGCGACATGTAAAACGCACATCGTAATTCACGCCTCTTTGATTTTACAACTTGCAACGGAAGCAAGTTGGAGATATGAGAGTGATTGGTGTATGTACGAGTTTATGCGAGGCAAGACTGTTTGCAAGTAAAAGGACTAGTAGTAAACTCTAGAGGAGATTCCAGACATTCAAGTTCCAAGTAGTATAGCAGTTCGTTAGAAATATTCTATTTTGTGTACATATTGAAAGATACCAACAACATATTCTAAAATATTGTACAAATAAATAATATTCTTTTATTTTGTATAATATTTATGAACCTAACCTAACCTAACTTATTCAAAAATATTCGAAATAATGTTCTTTTATTTTATAATATTATTTTTGCGAAATATTTCATATATAACTAACCAAAAATTTCTACAATTTCTAAGAGACTATCTCTATATTTTCACCATTCTACCATTGTACGTGCACATTGAAAAAAGAAACTAACAAAACAAAGGTGAAATAATTAAACTTACCACAGCATCTTCCTCGAAGACAACAACCTCCACTTTTGGCGCGTCTTCGCTAACCTCGTGTTCCTGGATGCGGTACACACCGGCCGCGTGTAGGTACGTAGCGCTCAGGCCAACTTCACGGAACGCTTTCGTGATTAGAACGTCATCTCTGAGTGTATCAACAAGGCAGAGCTCGACCTTACGTGCCCAGGGCAAGGCACGGCCAATTCGAACTTGACCCCAAAGTCCTCCAAGGCACAGAAAGTGCACAATACCCAGTTTGGCCAGTACCAAATGAGCCCTGGTGAAGTCACGACAGACAAGTTGAATGTACGATAACCTGGTGAAACTCGTCACGAGAGAAACGTTGTCTTAGTGAAAGTTCCGTCTCGGTCACGGAGACGAATCTGACCTGACTAAATTATACACCTGAACGGATGTGCAAATAATAAGAGGAGAAATTGACAGAACAGTTAACGGAAAGGATTGAAAAACGATAAGTGAGACTTCCGAGTACGGTACAAACGAGATGGATGATTTACTGAGAGTTGCGCATTAACGACGAAAAACGATAATCGGACGTTCTATTTGTCGTAACGTAATATTGACAAAACGTAACGAAATACAGTTATTACGTTAGGAGGAAAAACAAATACGAGTTTCAAACACCCGTGTTAGCAGTTAAACGCTAGGTTCGAAATAAAAATGACTCTTCACAGGGTTTGTTTATAGTTACACAATGAACTGTCATACGTGAAACGCATTATAGAAGTTTAAAACATATTCATTAACAAAAAAATCAACAGAAAAATGAAGATCAAAAAATGATTATTTTATTCCCAGGCTCAGTTTACATCGATTGGATATCCTTACTAAAGGTTATAGATGAAAAGAAGCTTTATTCGAGCATATCGTTAAACGCAAAACAAAACGAATAAACGTGCATGTGTGAATACCGCGCAGGTTTTCGCGCAGGTTCCCGCGCGCAGTACTCCATGTTTCTTTCATTTTTTAAAGAAAAGGAATATTGTTCCTAAAAGGGGTCACAAAAGGAGGAAAGCGAGAATACTTTCTGATACAAGCCTTAGAAGTCTCTTTAGGGAACACTATTACACCTGTCACGAGCGCCCAAGTCACACTAAATGCTACATTACGATTCGCTCTGAAAAACAGCTGTGACGCGGGCGCTCGTATCGCATTGAAGCAGCCTTAATGTTAAACACGCTAGAGTGGAGGACTGGTCAGCATGCCACAAAAGGAATATCGATACGTGTGTTCCGTTAAGAACTTATCTACAGCCAGTAACTACGACTCAAGTATGTGAACCTGTAGGTAAGCTCGTGCAGTTTCTCTGTAAATTCCTCGGGTACGCTGCACGGCTGCCTAGGTACCTCTTGCCGACTGAGGCTGTACCAGAACAGCATGACCATCAGGACGAACGCCGCCAACGCTCGTAGCGGAGTGATACGAAATCGTCTGCGGGGCAAAAAGCTCATGCTGGTAACCTTGAACACAAAGGAGCATCGTCGTGAGTTGGAGCGTTCTCTCAAGGATTCCTGGTTTCAAGTGAAGTTTCAGCTACGAATAAACGTGAGGATGTCAATGTAAAGAAATTGAACGCACTGTTCATCCACGAAAAACGATCGAGAAGGAAGCTTTCGATCGAACGAAGTCACAGCGACCCTCACACAAAGTGTCCTACATTGTGACGGCTCGTCATTGCGTAATAGCGGTGAACGTCGCGAACGAAGGCACTGCGACGCCACAAGGTAATGCAACAACGCGTCTAACTGCGACGTGAGATAGACACATGGCTCACGTGTCCACTAGATCCGTTCAAAATTCACGTTCTCGCGACACTGCTTTTTTTTTCTCACCCTCGTCGCGCACCACCGTCGCCGAATATTTGCGATTCCACCGTAACTAACCCCCCCTCCGCCACTCTAGGTCGCTTATGACTCCTTAACAGAAATGGCAACGCCGCAACCAATCGATTTCTCTGCCTTGCCGACACGCGGTTGTTTGATCGGTGGCGCCGTTACCTGGACCGATTTAACACTTTGTCTTGTTTCTTCGATGTACAGTTTGTCGTGCGATTGCCAAGCTGGAATTTCGATCTATTATCCTCTCGACGCGGGGAAAGTAGAGTACGAAAATAAATGCACCGACGCGCTCGCCCCGCTTTCTTTCATGGGAGGAGTGAAGTTTATCATTTTGATGGGTGGCTCGTCCAGGAATCTATGTTAACCGATGCGGGAAAGGAAAACGCGGCAGGCTGGTGACTTTTGCGGCATTGCGGTTCACACGTGACTACCAGAAATAGTTTTTCGCCTTTGGAATCTTAACGGATCGACGCCGCGCAGATTTCCGTGTTCCTTTTTCACCCTCTTTCTTCCTTTTGCTTTTTCTTTATATAAATAGATTCTTGTAATTCGTTGTATCTCATAAACGGCGGCCCTTTGAATTCTACCGACGATTATACGGTTAGACTGAGTGTCTTACGAAGGAACGGAGTAATTTTTCGAACATCCAAAAACACTTCAGGTTTTTACTGCAATCCTATTGATCTATTTGAATCTGTTCGATCTAGAATGATTTTTGTTCGTTAAGAATACAACGTTTACAACGAAACTTCTCGAACTCTTTCATACATTCTTTCTTTTCTCTTTTGTAGGTTATGTTTCGAAATATTTATTTCTCAAAATTTGTTTAACGTACCGGTGAACAAAATTCATTTACTTCTGCATAATTACACACTGAAGATAAAGAATATCGCGTATTTAACATAATCAAATTTCCATTAGCTGTATTGAAACTTTTATCAGTAGTATTTTAATTATATTCCGTAACGTGCATTGTTGAATCTATAAATGGCTGACAATCGTGTGGGGTCAAATATGTCCGGCAAGAGCAGCAGGATTAATGTGTAATGTTACAGGGATCATACTTATACGTGGAATACCAGGCAGATCAAGCAGAACGAAGTGAAATTTCATTTGAGGCAAGGTTTAAGCAAAAAGTTGCGATGGAAGCTATTAAACACGGATGCACGGAATAGGTGGTGCATTACGTGTATGCAATTCTCGCACACGAGAATACCGTTACAAAGATAAACGTCGATTTAATGGAATACTTGCCCCTGTGCCTGTCATAAAGAAACCGTGCATTCTTCCGAGTACACTATGGTTGCATTTTTATTGTACTTTTTCTCTACGTATTTCCACACAGGAATTCGAATTCTCCATTTTGGTCCTTAATATACTATATTACATTTTATTATAATTTACAAAATTGCTGTAGTTAATCACTTGTCCAGATAGTATGTGCCTTAACGTTAAATTTTCTCTGATAATGTTTATCTTCCACTTTATCTCACTATTTATCTAGTTAATCAAAATGAATATTATCGCTTCTGTAATTCACCGAAATATCAATGAAAAGTAAATACGAAACGATTATTCGCTGTTAAGATAAACGATCTTACCTCGATGTTGCACTGCTTTCAGTTACGAGTTAATTACGACACCGGGGCTTGAAAAATCTTCAAGAGGAAACTTTTCCCATTGACAGTTCTCAACGAAGGGGCGTTTACAAGATGACTAGCGTCCGCAAATTCGTCAACGCGGGAATAGGTTTAAAAATAAGACGTTCCCTTGAAAATGTGGCGCGCTATTGGCGTTTCTGCTCATTAAGATAATTGAGTGGGCCCAAGGCTTCGCCGCGATAACTCATTCAGTAGGCGTCGTTCCCCCGGAAAAAGTAAATACAAAGAAAACGTACTGTACAAGAGACTACGTGTTCGCTAAACGAGTTCCACGAACAACAAATCTATCGGATAATTCATCGTCCTCTCGTTGGATATTTCGTCCCGTTTCTCTTCTGTGTTTACACGTGTGATTTTAATGGGGAAAAATATGAATCGTATCTGTGTAGTTATAAATTAGGTTCATTTACCCTATTATCTATTTAACGAGTATCTATGTATGTACAAAAATGTGTAGACTTAGAAAAATAGATCTAATATGCCAGTCATTATCAAATGAAATTAAATTTAGAACAAGTTTAAGTTACGATGTTCCAGCGTTAACTTATCACTTTGTAATATTGCAATGAAATTGTAATTCTGAAACTGTTAATATTATCGTTATTCTACATCAGAGTTGAATTTATTATACATAATAGTTACAAAAATATCAATTACTCTTCAATTGAGGACGACCTGGATTTTAATACACTAAATTAGGTGCACTTGCCTTATCATCTATTTAACGGTTCGTAGACTTACAAAACTTGATCTGATATGCCACTACTGAGTGAAGTTAAATTTAGAACAAGCTTAAATTACGATGTCCCAACGTTAATCGATCCAATCGATCGAGCAAATTTTCAACATTCTTCTCCTGTTGTTTCAGATTCTACCGAAACGATATTATTAATTCAAGTTCCCCGGAACCAAGAGCCGACCCTTCTATTCACCGAACTCGAGTGTTCCTCTCTGTGCCGTAAGTGGACGTGGAAAGAAAAATTGCGGCGAATGTCGTGGAACCGGGCGGAACCGTAAAACAAACGTTTCGATGACGCGCTTTTCTCTCCTTCTAATTTTATCCCACCGCCTCCCTCCGTGCTCCTTAGCCGTGTATTTTCGTAGCACGTGTCACCTACGTACAGGCACCTTATCTCCGTAGTTAACGAACACATGAGTGTACTTGGCGATCTTTCGAACACGTGTACGCGCTCATCCCTCTTGTTTCGGTCTTAATGCTTCGACTGCAACCCTCTCTCAAATGAGTTTACACCTCGTTTCATTTTAAACAATTTGCTCGCTGCTTAGAGCCAGTCATTGTTTCGATAACCTACTTCATCGCGAGAATTTCGTCGCAGCTGTTTCTATGTACCGGCGATTTTTAACCATCTTTATCTCACTGCACACGTAAACTATTTACTAAGCTCGGTATAGATCTGACAGAAAAGTATACATTTTTGACAGATTTAGAGAAAAAAACAATGCAATTTATTTTCATTACTTTTTCAACTTCTTTAACTTGTATTAGAAGATCTTAGATACATCTGTGGATTTCAAAAATCAGTGCAATATACCAGCTACTTGGAAAAATATTCCAAGGAGTATTGTTCTTTTCGCGAACAATACAAAAGTTAATTAAAAATGGTGGTCGCGTAAATAAAATCATAAAAACTCTTGTCCGGTGGAAAACGCGTAATAAAGCTAACGGCGATATTCATGATGTGTAAATCATCGTCCGTGTTCACGAAGCGAATTATTAGGAGGACTGAAATTCACAGGAATATCTCGAAATTATCCCACCGTTGAATTCGATAAATGCCTATCGGATATTGACGCGGCAGCAATTAACCCTTCGGGAACATCGACATTTCGAACGTCAAAACGTTGTTATTCCATTACGAGTTATTTCGTGCACCGTGTGTCGGGAACAGTCCATGTTACTCGTTGTATGATAAACTGTATTTCGTTGGTACGAGTAAAAGTGACGAGACACTTTGTGGAAAGTTCTCTGCTCTGTAGAAAACAACATTGGTCGAACTGTGATATAGTATATATCAGGTGTATACCTAAATTTTGATCAGGTCTATACTATAAATTTCCAGAGTGAACACAATTACTATAGTCTTACAAATGAGTACTTTCTGTGAAAGTGGTCAGTCGTTTACGAAGAGCGTACACATACGCCCGTCTAATACACAAAATTCGTTTACGAAGAGCGTACACATACGCCCGTCTAACACACAATGTATTAATTTATTTTCACACTTTAACTTTTTGAATTTTATTTTATTTTAATTTTATCTCTGTCTTATATTTTATTTAATTAACTTTATTTCACACAAATAAAATATCGCTGTTGAAAAACACTATTTAGAGTGCGCCATAAATTTGACTATCATGAAACTTGATTTTCAGTCATACATCATCACATTCAATCATCTTTATTTTTATAACAACGTTGAATAGAAACTGTTTAGTCCGGTATAAAGCGAGCACTTTTTTCTCAAGCTTGCTGTAGCGAAAGGGTTAATCGAACCAAACTTACTCGATAAATTCGACATAGAACAAACTTATTGAACGAGTAGAGCAATCTGTAAAACTCCCGAGTTCATCGTGCGCCGGTCGTCATATTATAATAAGGCGTGTTCACACGTCGACGGTGTTCACGTGTCGAAAACTAGGGAGTTGGGAAGGGAACGGGATAAGGTGGCCGGCGCCACGATAAATCCGTTATCCGGGAGTATCTTAACGATATTGTTGCCGCGTCTGACTTTAGTTGGCCATAAAATTCAGCCCGGTTTAATGTGAAATAAATGAACAAATTCTCTGGATACCGCGTGTGGTCAGCCCGGGTTCCTCAAGTCACGCAACCACCAACCGTTTTACGAGCTATAAACCTTTTTTCGCTATTGTGTCCTGGGACTGTACCGAGTCGCCGTACGCCTGCAAATTCGCTTTGAAAAAGCTCGGGCAGCGATCGTTTTGAAAAAAAGCACCGCCTTTTTCACGTTCTCGTTCGGCCACGGTTCGAACCGTGGCGAGAGGCGGTTTATGCGTTTTCCTGGCCTCTCTTATCTAGATTTCAAGGCGATTTCTGTTCTTCTTCTTCTTCTTCTGGCGGAAAAGAAGCCGTGGGATCAATTTCAGGAGGGTTCCCCCCGAGGAGCGACCGACCACAGGGCGAACACAAGGGAGGAAGGTTCGTGAGGCACGTGATGAGAAAACTCGTTCGGTAAATAAGTATACATATTTGTTCGCTGGGCAAAAACGCGTGTTGGTACTTAAAGGATACAAGGTAGCCTTGTGTCTACTCGATCACGAGGAAGTGTATTTAGCCAGAAAGGAATGCAAACGGGGCTTTCACCGGTTAAAGTTTGAAATTCGCGGCAATTATCCTTAAG